CATAGTTAAGCGTGTAGGGGATAGCAGTTACCAAGATTATGCTAATATATCATACATTTATCATGTCCTGATCTGACCCTCTTACTGCATCCTGAAGCAAGTAGGTCAGAATTATATTAAAAAAAATCATAAGGTACTTTGTTTGCCTTAGCGCTAAATTTCCTCCCTTCAAATGTTTATCTAACTCTAGCTTTAAATGTAAATATACAGGCTTTCAATACCACAAATGTTTAAATTATACTGTTTTAATTTGACACCTGATTATATTAAATGATAATTTTGTAAATTTTCTTATTCCTCCCTTTCCACCAAGGAAATTTTAAAACACTGAAGAGTGAAAATTAATTGCAGGTAAGTGCTGTATTTACTCAAATATAAGATAATCCCCCCAATAATTAGATTCAATATATGGAAAATTTATAAATTTAGTATAATTTTCTAGATATGAAATCCAATTTATTAGAGGTTTGCCTTGAAACTGTCCCCCTCCCACTGCTACAGAAGGGAAAACAAATCTGGAGGTGTCAGGTAGCCCCCTTGCCCCCCTCCAAACTTCTTCCCCCTGCAACCACTGACCTTGAAATAAACATGCCAACAGCAATTTAAATATAAGCAAATGACTATGCATACCAATAGACTTATTTAATCCAGAATTGATGCACGTAACCTTCTTCGAAACTGCTGCAAGTTTTAGTACAGGTACTCTATAAACACACAGTTGAGTAGCACTTTTGTACCTACTTCTATATAGTACAAACTATGCATGATATTGGTCCAAAGTCAAAAGGTTCATAATTTACCATATAGTTCACTGGGTTGGGCCCCAGCGGAGTAACACTGTATCAAACCATGATGACTCCACAGCTTAGCACTGCTCAGTATGTGTGTGTATTCAAGATGCCCCCACAAAGGAGCCATTAGCTTCCCACTCATGACTGGAACCAGATGATCTTCTCATGGGTCTTGGGACTCCTTCAAAAATGTATATGCAGACAACATGCAGGGTAACCTGCTTTGGCTCTACCTCATGGATAGCAGGGCCACACTAATCATATGCAACAGGCTGATGAGGGGGTGACAGGGATTCTGGGTGAACTGTTTTGGGTCCTGTTTGGTGATATTTCCCAGATTATTAAGGCTGGTGAAGAAACACAAATTACTGGAACTGGGGAAGAAAGACAACTCAGCTGTGGGAGTGAAGAGGAAATCAAAATATATTCTATATAGTGGCTCATCTTGACTTGAAAAAGAGTCAGTGGTGAAAGAGACTGAGTGTAATGGGCACTATTATATATCTAATTCAGATGGGCTGCACTAACCTAGCTTTGTGATAGGTTCCTAGCTATATAAATCTATCCCTGGGCATAGGTGGTACCATACCAGGAAATGGAAAAAAAATAAAAAAATCAGTGTTTATAAGTACAGTCAAAAAACCATAGAGAACAGATCTCCAAAATATAAACTATATCATCTAATGGCCTTATATTCACTATTTTTTTTACTATATGTGAGTTTTAACCCTTTGTTTCATGTACTAGTATCTCAATATTTTAGTCCAGAACATTTGTTCTAAGTACAGAATTGTTAGCTCCTAGAAGATATTCAGATTAAAAAAAGATGCAGACTTTTTTTTAATTCCTTATATGTGAATATATGAAGGGCTTCCCCCCCACATGTTGACTGCAGGGGGCTGGAGGGGGGCCTCGTCTTACATTTGAGTAAATACAGTATGTTTACCATACTGGAAAACTATGTTTACCTAAAGTTGTAGTTGTGATGTAAAGTAGTCAAAATACTCACAAATACTCTGATAGGTCATGTCCACATAAGCCTGGACGTTTGTTTTCCCCAGGAACAACTAGCGGCCACACACCTTGTTCCACTGCTAGTTGTCCCCAGGAAACACCTGTGCCACATACCTTTTACTGCTCAGAGCCTGACCAACAGCTGAAGCGTGGCTCTGGGCAACCAAGCTCCAATTTTGAGCAGTGTGCAATGCCCCTGCGTGCGCTGTTCTGCTTTTTTATTTTTTATTTTGCACAGGTTTCTTTGCCCCCTGGATATCCAGGAGTCAAAAAAAAAAAAAGCACACTGCTCCCTTGAAGTGTGGGGAACAGCTCAATGTGTGATATGTGTGATATGTGGTGCTGCTCCCTCACTCTGCTTCTTTTGACAGGGGTTCTGGTCTAATGAAGGTGTGGACGGAAGAGGAGACGGGGGCAGCTGCAGACTGAACACCTGTACATTCCCTCTCCCAGAAAGGTTTCTACTGGAGGAAATTTCTGGGAAATTTCCACCAATGGAAATGAATACCTATTCCTGGCTTCTGTCTTACATATACATGCTATCCTGGATAGAACCCAGATATGATAAATTTCAAGTTGAAAAGATTTGTTTTCAGGATGTTAGAATTAAGCATAGAGGTTAACAAGATAAAGCAGTTTACATTATCTGTTTGTAGAGTAAGAACTGAAACTCCATAATATATAATTAAACCAGGTGTTTTAAGGCAATATTCTGTTCAGATCCTACTCTTATTTTAAAATCAATGGCAAAACTCACATTGACTCCAAGTGAAAAAGCCATCCTGTGCTTAAAAGATTTAAAATGCCATATAGAACGAAAGTTAAAATGAATAAGTAGCTAGAATTCATAGTCCTTGTACCATCTAATAAGCAGAGAAAAAAAACGGATGCATATTTTGCAGCCTCAGTACTGTACAGTAATGTGCTGCAGTTTTCAACCTAGAGAAGGCAGCCTGAGTCTGCTCACCCTCTCATTGTGTGGGTAAGTGAATTTGTGCTTTTGTTTTGTGGTTTTGAAATTTCAGCAGACAAATAGCTGAAATGGTCTTTATTCTGCAGCTTGACTGAAATGGCTCACAGGTCCCTACCAGATGTGCAGGTAAAGGTGTGATGGATCTGATGGACAAGCCACAGAATCACGCTTCTTGCCATGCCATACATAACTGTAAGATCACACATCAGACGACATCACACCTTGTAGCTAGTACAGGGGCTCCCACCTGCAGGAGGCTCATGGCGGGAGCAACTCAGATCAGCTGTACACTTTGAGCCCTGAGGACTCACCATGAATCCCCACATCTGGGAGTCCTGGCAGCTGACGCAAGCTCCCAGCCAGAGGGAGCACCCCTGAGGCTAGGAGCCTGCAGCTGATACAGGTTCCCAGACAAAGAGGTCACAATGCACCCCCCCCCACAGCTGATCCGAGTTCCCTCCCAGAGGGGCACACCACATGTGCAGCTGATAGGGCTCCCAGCTTCAAAAGCATACAGTGTGTCCTCAAGGCTGTGAGCCTCATCTGCTGATGGGGCTCCCAAGCACAGGGATGAACCTGGCCATACATTCAATTAATGGTATGATAGGATCAGCTACAAAGTTATTGCCCATTTTTTGTGGAATAATTTTATGGCTTATCACTCATTTTATCACGCTATTAACTGATTGAATACATGGCTGGGTCACAAATTAAGATGTGATTAGCTAATTAATCACATCTTAGGTGTAAAATGTGACAGGTTCCTGAGACTGTTTTGGGAAACAGCTGAAAAGCTGGACAGGAGAATGGCAACATTTAGGGCGAAATATTGCTTCACAGAAGCTGGTGGTAAAACTGATTGACTTCCTTTATTTGTTATTTATTTATTTTATTTTATTGTACTTGAGAATTTTTGGCCTTTATTTAGATGAACTGCTATTTGATTTGAATCAGTATTTTAATTATAAATTAGCTTTTGGGAGTCTTAATTTTGTTGTTTTTTAAATAAAAATTACTGTAATGGTGGCTTGGTTATTTTGTTTGGAGAACCTCTGGGCTCCTTATTAGCTACCTGGTTGAAACACTAATAGAAGTTAAACTTTGAACCAGAAAACTCTTCTAATGGTAGCCACTGCAGCACAAAGCTTCTCCAGAAAAGATTTAATGCTGACAGCTAAACTCAATTGCTTAGGCAAAGCTTAAGCAAAAGAAATTTCCAAAAAAATGTTGGTACCTGTGGTGATATTGATTCAGTTGAACTGGTGTTACTCTCAGACTGGATAAAGTTCCAATGATCACACCTGTTTTCACCACAATTTCCATTAGATTTGCTTTTATCAAGTCTTCAGCATCAGTTATATGGGACACAGCATCCAAAGCCTTCCCTATACTAGGCCTCCCTCCAGCTAAATCCCATTAAAAAAGAGTGATGAGAGATGGGTTATTTAGAGGGATACAGAGGGATGTGTACAATGATTCAACAGAATTACAGCATTTTAGTGTGCAACAGCCCTGACCAAGAAATCACACTATGGTAAATACATTTCCTCAATTGTTAAAACCTACTTGGCCAGAAAGGCTTCTAAATACCAGCATATTATAATAAAAGCTTTCCCTGTAAAACAATAATGGCAAATCCTGAAAGAAAATAAGTCTGTACACTAAAGTGAAAAAGACAGAGAATTCCTAGTGTTAGAATGTATAAGAATACAGAGTGTATTAATAAAAACTTTGTAGCACTCATTTGCTATAGTTTCAGAAAGGATCGTTCTACTATTGGGCAATATATATGAACTGTTTTGAAAGAAATGTCCCTTCTGCATATATAAGTTATGGCTGTTGCCATAGCAGGATGATAGCCTATCTGCTATGCAATTGAGTACTGAGTAAAAATAACACTTCTTTTCTAATCTAAAATACAGCCAGAAACCAACAGTTAGTAAGAGTGGAGACAGGAAAAAACTTTGTGCTCATATGACCTTTGTTATCTAAGACAACTGCTTTTCAATTTCTAGCAGGTCAAATTAAACCAGATCTGTATTAATTACCAACACATTTCACACTTCATTGCACTAAGATGGAAAGAGACATTCAAAACAATTTTGTACAAACTTCTCATATTTTATCTTGAAATCACGTTACTGATTTCACTAACAGAAATAATGAAAAGAGAAGAGGTAAAAAAAACCAGTAAAAACACAGGAAAATGAAGAACTGGTTACCTATATGATAAAGTCCTATCCAATCTGTTGGGTCCACTTCTTCTTTAATATCCCAGAAGATAATGAGATTCTGAGGCTGCCCAAGGGTATACTCATACATACTAGCTGTCAGACTGGAGCGGCTATCAGAGGTCACTAGATCAGTGTCACTGTTGGCACGCTGTAAATTCATATTCTCAGCCATGGTGCCCTGAGATGCCAGACTCTGCAGGTTCTCTGGGCTCAAAGTGTACCGCAGTTGGGGGTTGCGACGTCGCACAAAAAGTAGGTGGTCCCGAGCCGAACTGGCCATTTTGCCTCTCTCTCCTCTCTGTAGAAAATGTCTCACTTAGAGATCTGCAAAATAAGACAGACAAACATAAAACTTAAGAGCTTTATTAGATCAAACTCCAAAGCACAAGAATTTGGTTCAAAGATTTCTTAAACTATGATTGACCTGAAAATGCCTCAAATAAATGGCATGTTTTGTTAACTTACTCTTGAAGCAATCTTTGGGGAAAATTCAGTATGTTGGAAATGAAATATGGCATTTACCACTTGTCACACTCACTGACATTCACAAGTCTAATTATCACAAAATGCATGAACCAAGAAAGACACAAAGAGAAACTATGTACACCCCAAAGAGAAGCAGAGAGCAGTATACCTCAAGCCAACAATAGACAGTTAGCACTACCCCACAACAGCTGAGTAAGCGAGTAAAATAGAGAGGTTCAGAATACCTGGGGATAAAATGCTCACATAAGTATTTACATTACTACCATATAGCTTCACTCAGAAGATGTTTCTCTTAATAGTTACATATCTTGTTACAGAATCAAAAGTAAATCTGTTCTGCATTTAAAACAAGAAGTAGGATTTGCATACAGCAACGGTATCAAACTTACAGCCCACAGGCCAGGTCCAGCACACAGAGCCATATTATGTGGACCACAGGGGTGGGGGAAGTGGAGACATGGCCTGCTGCCAAAATCCAGGGCACAGAGTTGCTAGAGACATGTATTGTTGGTAGTGCCGTAGCAAGTGGGGGGCAAGCAGGGCAACTGCCCCAGGCATTGAAGCAAAGGGGCACCAACAGGTGCTGCCCAACTGGAGCAGGGCACAGGAGAGAGCTGTGAGCAGCTAGTTTGGGGGAGTGCAGAGTTTGGGGTTGTTCCTGGTGCTGCATGCATTCCTGGGCAAGCATGCATTCCTGGGCAAGCGTGTGCCCCCCAGATCTGTGCGTGGGGTGAGGGCAGGCTGCTGCTGTGGGCTTTGCCTCGGGTGCCAAACTCCATTGCTACGGTAGATTGTTGGCACAGGGTGTGTGACAGCTGCATTAAACCCTGTAGCTGCTACCACCACAATTACCACCACTGCAACTTCCCCCACTGTTATCACTAAATCCAGATCTGGCCTGCAAGGAGTCCTACAGTCTGGATCTGGCTGGGAGGGTGAGGAGACCGTGACACCCTGGGTATATAGCTCTAGCATGGACGCATTGCCATAGAAGAGTAATATAATGACATTATAAAAAGAATATAAAATACAAAAGAATAGATTACAGAATTTCTCCAGGTCGTGCATAAATGTGCCAATTCACTGAATGAGATACTGTAGGGAAAGCCTAAGTTCTGGTAGTTCAAGTCACCGTGTCTGCCTAATAAACCTTTTTTTTTAACACAAGTCCAACTTTGTGAATTCAGTGGTCCTCATCTGATTCAGATGAAACAAGAGAGACATCTAATCCAGAGCACTGACATATGTGATGTCAATTCAGTACCAATATAGGAATACACTAAAGCAAATTCCAGAACTAACCTGTGCAGCATAATCTAAGGCACACATTTTTTTGTGATCATCCCTACAGTTATATGCCCATTTTAAAATATGATCAGAAGATTCCATGAAGGTCTATTTCCTGAGATGGACTTCTACTATCCCCTTAGTTAAGCTAAGACTAAGACATAAATCAGTGCCCAAAGTCCAGCCTTTGAAGAAATGTTTTGTAGCTGTAGAATTTGCTGCTATTGTAGTTTTTCCATCAAAGCCCAGGATTATTAAAAGCATGCCCTTTTTCCTGATACAGGTACAGTTACTAGGTCAGTATGACTTCTAACCAAAGACACAGGTGCCTAGTTCCCTGCTGCCTCTCAAGTTTTGACCTCTCTCCATAGACCTTCTCCTTCTCTGCCTTCATATCTCTCCATAGACACAATTTATTCTCGTACTCTGAACAGCAAATAAACTGAAGGCACTCAACCAAATAAATACATAAACAAAACAACCTTGTTTTTCAGAAGACCTTCAAATCAAAGTTTCAAATTATGTTTCTCTTTGATTTGAAACTTGAAGAAAAAATCCTAGCACTATAGTATCTACTTTTTCCATTTAATACAACAACAGCAACATCAACAACAGGGTTTAGGGCCAGAGCTATCAAACTTGACCCACATCCAAACCACAGGGCTCCTACTCCTTGCACTGGAGGGAACAACTCCATTGGCCACACCTTTGATATCCCTAGTTTAGAACATACTAGGACTATTTTTATGCTGGAAATAAATAATGCTTCCATTGTGGAAAGACAATTTCTGCAACAAAAACAACTAATTTATTCCAATAGTACAAATACCTATTTTTAGAAGAAAACTGAACACATGGTTAACTAAAATGGTTATTGTTCAAACCATTAGCAACCAGCATGTAAGTAATCAAAGATGTGCTGTACTTAGACACTACAGTTGCCTAGATCTTGTAGAATATGGTCTTTAAGAAACAGCAATAATAAAAAAGATAACTACACAGCCTGTTCTGAAGAGGTGATGTGGGTTTTGCATGCCCATCTGCAGACATTACTTAAAGATACCTAACTATATTACAAGCTAACTGAAGACAAGGTCAATTACATCATAATTAAATCCTATATGAAGTTTGTCTACTGCAGGCAAACCATTACGGATCTCATTATTTTAAATACATGGAAATATCCATCTATTACTCCTGAGCTTTCTTCTTGGTTTCATACCTCCAGCCTTTGACAGTGATATATAGGTAAAATAACTACAGTCCCTATTTCCAACTAGTCTGATTTAAAATGAGGCACAGATCACTGGAAATGAATTTTGATTAGTGTGAAACCTCCCAAAGTACTAGAATTCCCAATGTAAGCCTTCTAGTGCCAGAGGAGGAGCCAGATCTGAAAACAGAGGAGTTGAGGGCCACAGCAAAGGAAATTCTGGGGGAGGAATGGAAATCTGAGTTTGTGCTCCACACCCCTCAAAGTTCCCCTAGAAACAGGTCTCTTTCTCTGGAAGGCACTTCAGAGGAGGTTGTGGGAGCAGGTGGTTCAGGTCCTCCTGTTGTGCCTCTGCCTGGTGAGGAGAGGGATAAGGCACAATCCAAGAAGCAGAGGCAGGCCACCATGGACCAGCGCGGGAAAGGTAGAGACAATGGGGTCATTCCCAAGGCGGAGACAATGGGGCATTCCCAAGGAGAGCTAAGTCACCCAGAGCATTGGGGAGATGTTTGCTCTGGATGGCGAGCCCTTCTCTTTAGTTGAGTGGCCAGGGTTCAGGCGGCTCATGGCACTCGTGGCCCCATCGTACCAAGTGCCCGCATGCACCACTTTTAGCAGGACTGTGGTGCCCTCCCTGTATGAGGCATGCAGGGAGTACTTGAGGGAAGAGCTGCAGAAAGCAGGTCTGCAGGTAGCTTTGCACTTCACCTCAGACATCTGTAGCAGCCAGGATGCAGATCATGCCTACCTCTCCTTCACAGGGCACTGATGTGATCAGTCAAGGCATCAGTGGGCTCTCCTTCAAGCAAAGGTGATGGATGAGTCCCACACAGCATGGGAGATCATGGTGGCCATGAGCCACATGGTGCAGGAGTGGTTCGTTGGGTAAGGCGAGCTCACCCGTGGGTTCATGGTCACTGACGAAGGGAACAATATGGTCAAGGCGGAGCGTGATACCAACTTTGTTGACATCCGCTGTGTGGCACACAAGTTGCACCTCATAGTAAGGGATGCCTTGGAGGGGGACAGGGCCCCCAGCGATGGTGCCATCACTACTAGCTAGCTCATTTCAAAATTCAGGAAGGTGGCGGACTACTTCCACCAGAGCATCAAGGGGGGCAAGATGCCGTGGGACAAACAGGCAGAGCTGAGCATCCCACAGCACAAAATCATGCAGGATGTGGAGACTTGGTGGAACTCCACATGCCTGATGCTGGAAAGGCTGGTCGAGCACAGAAGGCCATCCATTAGACGGCCTTGGTCGGGGAGATTGGGATGAGCAGCCCCCTTAACGAAACAGAGAGGGATACCATCTCCCAGATTTTGGTGGTCCTCAAGCCATTCCTTGAGGCCACTGAGAGCCTCAGTGCTGGCGATGCCCTCGTTAAGCCAGGTGATCCCCACAGTGAGGGAACTTGAGAATGAAATGGAGAAGTTCCAGGGAATCAATGTTCCTGGCTGGGGCAAGCTGCTTTCACCAGAGGTGCAGGCACTGGTGAAGCAGCTGAAGGAGGGCACCAAAAAATGGCTGGATCCACTGCAGTCCAGTACAGTCCATGTGGTGGCAGGCATGTGCGACCCAAGGGTGAAGGGAACATCTGCAGCAGCAAAACCCTCGATCACTGGACAGCAGTAATGGTGAACAGTCAGGGATGCAGAAGAGCAGAGGCAGGGGGATGTGGAAGAGGGGGTCCACCTTCCCATGTCACCACTCCAACCACAAGCCAATCTCCTCCACCACAGCCACTGCCAATGTAGACCAAGGGTATTGCTTCGATGTTGCGGTCCAGAGGCACCAGACCCCAGCACCACGCAGGTAGCGCAGAGGCCTCAGCAACTACCTATCTCGCCAAGGGTATGGAGGCACTGCACAGCAGCCCCTTGGCCTATTGGGAAACCCACAGTCAGATATGGCAGGATCTGGCCACAGTTGCCCAGGAACACCTGTCCTGTCCACTGACCAGTGTTCCAAGCGAAAGGGTGTTCAGCACTGCTGGTGACATTATGACACCCCACTGCACCTGCTTGGATCCTGGTTTGGTAGAGCAGCTGGTGTTCCTGAAGGTGACCCTCCCGCTGCTAGATTTCCCCAAACTCCACATGCAGATGGAGAGAGTATGACCCTCCTCACTCCACACCTATTTTCTTTTTGTATTTGCTTTTAGAACCTTGAGGTGCACTTGCACAGAAACCCCTGCACCACTCTGAAACCTGGCAGGCCTCATCCCTGCACAAGGAAATACTACCCCTGCTATTTTCATCCTGCTCTGCCTTAACACACACAAGTGATATGAGTTTTGCTTTCAACAGTTTGAGGTGCACTTTCACAGAAA